AGTGCAGCCATTTGCCATCAGAAGTCAACTTGTTGGTAAATAATATGTGTAGTTTAATGCCAGTCAACATAAAACTGTTGTTTGAAGACCTCAGGGCTTTGTTAGATTAATAAAAACCAAATGAGCATGCTAGACAGCTCAGCAGTAAAGCTGTGGTGATTTTTAAAGGGCTGATTGTAAAACAACCTCCAACGCTCTGAACATCTTTCAAAGGACAGTTCAATAAATCATCTCAAAATCGAAAAAGAATGGCACAACTACAGACATCCCATGAAACTGACAGGCTGGTTTTTGAGATTGTTAATCAAAGAAGAAGCCAGGAGGCCTGAAGTGACTCTGGAGGAACTGCAGAGATTGTTCTTCTGGGAAAACTCACCAAGAAGACACTCAAGAAATCTCTCTTTTATGGAAGAACAGCAAGAACTAAGCCATTGTTGAGAGAAGGCAACAATGCGTCCTTTTCGCATTTTCCTTCTGGCCCTGAAGGAAGCACAGCAAATATGTGGAAAATGTGTTTTTGTCACAGGAGACCAAAATGTAACTTTCTATCCCACAATCAAAATGCTAAATGTAGAGGAAAACAAACAGTCCACATGACTTTTAGTACAAAACCAAATAAAACAGAAGTTTGGCAATTGTAACAGCACAAAATGGGAAAAAGCTTAGAATGTCTGAAAACAAGGCATCATTTGCAGTGTCTTTTACCTGATCATTTTTATTTATTTATTTATTTTTTGCAGATGATTTAGCTGGTCTGCTTACAGAAAGGCCCAGAAATTAGGCTGGGGATTAAGAATCAGAGATTTGAGTGCTGCGGTGGTGAGGGTGTTGGGACATTGTGGTGGGTCTGCCGGAATACACAACTGGGCCGTAAACTGAAAGCAGAAGTGCTCAAATGACCCAGACCAGGCCGTGGAGAAGGATAATGTCAACATTTAAAATACACCACTGTAGTTCACAGAAAGTCATAACATCGCTTCCACACGCAGCCCCCACAGAGAATTTCGCGTGTGGGTTTTTCTTAGCCACTTGGGGGCAGCGATTCAATCGACATGGTGAGAATCTAAGCAAGATGTTACCGCAGAACACTCCTGAGATAACCACTAGATTTTGCTCAGTTATATCATTATTCCAGATGGGAAACGTGGCTTGGTAGAAGTAGAAGACTGCAGAATTGCAAACTTAGAAACAAATGTTCAAAATATCGCCCAAAATATTTATTACACTTTGCTTAAAATAATGCTGATATACCAATTAATCTGCTGTATTGTAGAGGAATGAAAGGAAAATACGAAAGTTCTTATTCTGCTTAGACTCAAATTACTTATTCAAATTAATTATTGAAATTCTTCTGCATTTTGACACATGAGCTCAGTTTGGTGGACTTCACCTTCCTCAAGCTGAGCGGATGTTGTGTGCAGATTTTAGATGCTGAGGCGACATAAACAAACACAAACAGATCAACTACAATCAGAAAAATCTCTTGTTTGAAGTCATGGACTACAAATGTAAAGTTAAAACCAGATGTACAAGAATACATTTAACCTTTTCCCTGCTTAGTGGCATTAAATCAGACTAAACAGTTCAGGTTTTAAGTCACTTAGGATTACCGGAATAATGGATAAATGCCAACTTTTTTTCCAGAGCATTTCTATTACTTTCTTTAAACTCAAAAGTTGGCAAACACCAATATTGATGTGACTTTAAACACCAGATGATGCCAGGAATTTGCCAGTTTCTGATAGGAGAACAAAATATTTCAGTTAAATATTTTGGCATGATCATAAATATGATCGCAGCTGACCATACTGCTTAATCTCAGTCTGACAGAAGATTAGCGGCCACACCTAAAGAGGTATGGCCGCTAAACTAGGCTAGGCTAATTCTGTCATGACAAATGGAGCAAATTATTGTGAGAAAGCACAGTTTCTACAGGTTAAAGGGCAATGTCAACAAATGCTAAATAAATATGCGTAAATTTGAAAATTCCAAAGAGAAAAATCAAGTTTTATTTATTCTGACATCTCGCAAAATATATTTTGTAATCCTGGCTGACTTAAATCTGCAGCTAAGAAGCTGAATTTATACTGAGGACAAATTTCACATATTGTTTCATATTGGGGTGATTTTTGGAGGCTATTGAAGGTTGTGCTGGATTTTATTTAGGTTTATGAAAGTAAAGGGAGCAGAATGTGAATGCCTGCCGCACTTTTCAGACTGCCATGCATGAAAAAAAAATATATATATATAAATTCTGTGTCACTTTCTTTCCACTTCATAATCATGCTTTATTGTGACAGACTGTGAATGAGCTTGAGCTGACACTATATTTGTGAATAGAAGAAAAAAGAAAGACTACTATTCATGTGAATATCATAAACCTTCTAATATCCTCTAAATAATCCAGATTTTTTTGTATTGATTTGACTCACAGGTTGATGACTGTTTTTTCTCGTGAGCTGTCAGTTTTGGATGAAACATTTGGTTTTTGTTTTTTTTACCAGTTCAGTTCCCATCTGTGACTTTCACTCTCCACATCAGCAGCTGGCCACACTGACAGTAATATTTTTGGGGATTTTGATTTGGATCTGACTGGGTGGAATTTCTCAATCGGAGGAAATTTGGTTTCCAAACCATTTCTGAGTTTGCTTGAAATCTCTGGTATGCTGTGTAGAAACACTAGCCAGGGTGTCTGGGTACTTATGTAAAAAAATCTCCAATATCTTGGGAATTTTGTTGTTTTTAAATGAAGATGCCTCTGCTTTTGTCAAACTTTGAAAACACAAACAAACACATTTTAGATAAATATGATCACAGCTGTCGTTCCTTGCTTTTTACTGTGCTGGAATTGTCATGGGTGTGCCTTTTTCTGATTGAGTAATTACTTCAGAACATTCCTTAGAGTGTTATGATCCTACGGCAATAAATTAGGGACAAGCAAGTTTAGCGGAGAGAGAAGACAACTTACATGTATCAGTTGTTCACACATTTTTTCAAAACTTTGGGTTTGCCTTGAAAAAGTCAAGAAAACTTGACTACGTCTTCATCTTCAACAGATTCTGTAGCTTTGTGCGGCTTCCCTCAATTTATGTTATGTCGAAAACTGGAGATGCCTCTGGTGCCTAAGAAAAACGCCCAGCAAGTGTTTTTTGTTTTCACCACCTTGGGAGAGATACTTCTTCATGTTTGGCTCATAAAGGGATAGGGTGGGTTTCCCCCCCAAGTGTTGCTCTGTAGAGTTGTTGTTGCTCAAAGACATCAGTCAGTGTGTTACGAGCAGCAGACAACTCCCTGAACATCTTTAGTTTAGAGAAACAAATATTCCTGAAGACCTGAGGGTTGGCCTAATGACCTGTCAGTTCCAGAGCAGGTAAATATTACATGCTGATAACAACTCCACAGATTCCTATTGTAAAAGTACCAAAATCATCTCTTTAATGTGTGTATATCATATTTTAGAGCAACAATCAGCTCTAAAAGCAGATAAGTCATCTTAAAATGCATTTTCTGAAACAGAATGACTCTTTAGAACACAATGTGCTTTTTTGCCATAGATTTTAGGTCAGTACAAAATATTTGTTTACATCTTTAAATTGCATTACCACCCATCTAAATTTTTCTAATACATCGGTCACAAAAGTTGCTAGCAGCAGTGACAAATTATATATTTGCACCTTTCAAACATTATATGAGCAGTAACAGCCTGGATAAACATTTTAGGATTGAAAGACCTCATTATTGTAAGAAAATTAAACTGTGTGGAAGATTGTGTCATCTCACTGTTTGCAGCCAAGCCCCTCATGACAGATTACTTATGGAAAATTTGGGTCATTTGTGTTTGAAACATAGTGCTTTTGAATTTTCTTGCAGGATGCCGGTTTGTTGGATGTCCAGATTAAAGTGCACAGACTGACTGCATAACTCGCCATAAAAATGATTATCACCTCCTTAGCCTTGGTCACCAATTGTGTTTTGATAACCGAAACTGAGCTTGTTTATCAAAATATAATTGTACTCATGATGACATTATTCAGTTCATAATGCCATCACACTTCAACAACCTTCTGCCTTGGCCTGAGTGCCAGTTTTTCTATCTTTTTCACACATTTCTCAACATAAAATATGAAAATGAATCAAACAATTGTGAGATACAAGCCTACACATTGTTGGAAAAGAACATTGTAAAAATTGTATAAGTTCTTTAGGTCTGCAAATTATTCAAACTGTGTCTAATTTATGTTGGTACTATGCAGTTGGTGCTTATAATCATTTTAAAGCTTTGTCTTTCATATTTGGTTCAGGATCAGAAAGACCAACCACTTTTCTAGCTGGAATAAAACTGTGTTGTGGGTCAATGATTTTTAATTGGATCACAATTTAAAACTATGGCGTATATGTACTTTTATAAAGTATTTGTAAAACATTTATCAAACTGTGCTATCACGTATAGGTCAAATACCAGGAAAGGTGTGGTAGACTGTAGTGTCCAACATCTGGATCTGATATCCACCGCTCTATCTCTGGAATGACGCAGAAAGAAAACCAGGTTCCACCCTTTCATCCTGTCTTTATCCCCCTTATCTCTACTATCAGTGAAAATGCCAAAAGCTGTAAAAAAAACTTTACATTAATTTGCAGAGCTGAGCTAATATGGATTAAAGTTCACGTTTTGTCATAAATTACCCGGTAGCCCTGAGAAAGTACGATAATTTTGTGCAGAGTGATGATTTACTGACCTGCTGGAAAAAAAAAAAAAAAAAAAAAAAAAATCATTTTTTATTATATATGTAACATTTTCCTTTTGCTAACTTATCAGGTTTCTTATGATTTGTGTCAAATAATTTTGCTATCATCACTGCATAGTTATTTACTAAGCTTCAACATCCTGTTATAGTGAAAAACACACACATACATCCTCTCAGTGCACAAACTGAGGAATGTATGAGATGGACGTGACAATACTTGAGTTGTTTTCAGTGTTTTATTCAACCACAAAGGTGCAGAGGAACACGATGAGAGTGAAATATAGCGATGTTTTCAGACCCCACATTTTCAACAGCTGAACTTTCCATCACCTCTAGGCGCAGGGCAGGGACACAGCAGAAAAAACAAAACAGAGGATTGAGGGGGGGAGGGGGGGAATTCCTGCTAGGAATCCGTGTGTCTTAATACCACAGGAATGCACAACTGGAATTTACTTAACTGTCATGACAGCTATGGATTCACAGAGAGAGAGAGAGAACAACACAAGTTGTCCCCGAAAGTTATGCAACTGTATGTTTTGTTACTGTTTGTTCTCGACAAATAGAATAATTGTCACTGTCCACAAACAGTCATGAAGCTTGTGAGTTTTTCCACAAGTGATTTACAAAGAAAATATTCCCTAATTCTATATTGAGTTTAACAAGTTAAAGTAACATGCTGTGGGCTTGTTATTAGCATAGCTTAAAGAACTATTTTTTATTAGACTAGTGGAATGCTCAAAATTTTACAACATTTTTGCCCTATTTCATCTAATTAAAGGGCAGATCTGCCACTAAAGATTTACCGTGCTTTAAAAATCTGCCCAAGGGCATGTCTGGAGTTAACAACCATCCTTACGCTTCCTCATATGTAAAATTAAAAAATGTGCTATTATTTGGCTTCTTTCTGTCATGCAAAATCCATTTTGTATTTCTAACAGGCCAAAGCTGGAGTGAGTGGAGTGTAATATTTGTTCCATTTAACAAAAATCTAATCAATCAGTTCCAGTGGTTTCAATGAACATTAAACCTCATCATGTCTTCCTGGTTCTGTGTTCAGGCTACAAAATAGTGGAACTTATGCTGGGAGAGCTAATCAGTCTCAGGTGTTATTTGAAACATATCTGCTGTGCTGGTATAGAATAGCTAAAACGATTCCTGCATTTGATGTTTATATAGAGGTGGGAAAAAACAGTCAGTTCTCAAACTGCAGAGTAAATTGAGAATGGTCCCCTTATACTACGTTGTATAAAGTGTACATATTAGCCCTTATGCAGGATAAAAGTTGTCTGCTGGGAGAAGCCCCAGGAGGAAGTGGAAAAAAAAGACAATAACTGCGGGCGATCTATATATTTTACTAATTTATTCCATTTCAGAAACTACAATAAGCATAAGCATTTAAAATCAACAAAATAAATGGAGCTCTTTTGCAGAAGCATAATATCACAAGGAAGAGCCTTCTGAGAAACTGCTTGCATGTGGCATCACAGAAGCAGCACAGTGTGCTTTTACACATATTCATCTTATTTTGTTGACCAGACTGACTTAAAAAAAAAAAAAAAAAAACTCAATCTTAGCCTCATGGACTGACTGTATGGACAGTTTTTTTTTTTTTTTTTTTAAGATTTTTTCTTTCAACTTCTAGTTGATTTACATGGGCAGAAAACGGGGAGGAGAAAGGAAATGACCCAAGACTGGGAGTCAAACCCAGGACAAGAGCGTTGAGGTCTGCACATGGAGAGCATGCTCTACCAACTGAGCCAGCCAACCCTCTGGATCAAAACCAAGTGGTTAAAGTCCAGCTAGAGTTTAGCATTTAGCACATTTATGATACTGGAAGACAAAAGGCTCCCAAACACCTAGTTACTTGTTACATACGTGTCGCTCTTTCTCGCTATAACAGCCCTCCTCAAAGTAAATCGTGACAACATAAACCTGGGCCCTTGTCCAGAGTTGCAGCTCACAGTTTCAGCTGGTTTCAACGTTTCCAGTGGCTTTGTAATATGAGCCTCTGTATCAAACCGTTTCATTCTGGCTAGGCAGGAAGATATGGATCAGCAATTAAAACTTGTGTCTCATCAGACACATATTGTATTGTTTCTGTTCAGTGTGAGATTATGCCACTGCAATATGCTTTTGTTGTAAAAAGACTAAGATGTAGGCTTTTTACATGCTTTTTTTAAAATTATTATTACATATCCTTACCCAGGGTGTCAATAAATGTTGCATGCACTGTATAAAATGTCCCAGTAGCTCTAATTAGTAGCCAAGCTCTTGGTCACAGTGGTGTTTTTCTTTAACACCAGGAAAGCTGTTTCCTCTCATTAAGCCAAGTCTCTCATATGGACAGTCCCATTCCCAGACCGCAAGACTTTCTTTACATTGCATAAAAATTGTGTGAAGAATTGATGAGTGTGCAAAATGTTATGCATTACCAACAATTGACAAAGGTTAAATAAGAAACTAGAAAGAGGGGATGTGGATTTGAGGACAGGACATTTGTCCAGGAAAACTGGATTTTTGTCTTTTGTAGGATAAGTTTAAGTGTTTTACTATGCTTTTGCAAAGCTTGAGAACATTGTCAAAAATGTAAAAGTGACAGGGACATTGTTACTTACTCACTTATCACAGGATGAGCTGTTAATACAAATAGGAAAATCCACCCAGAAACAACTAATGAACAGCTTTCATTTTCTATTAGTAAGGGTTATGTAACCCGAAGGAGGAACACCCTTTCATCGGCAACGAAAAACAACATTTATTTTGTTCATGTGCTTAAGTTCACCGCTGGGTTGATCTCCTCCT